GGATCACAATGCAGGATTCTACAGGTACCAATCTAGACGTAAGAAGTCACGGAGCACTCGCGTGGCCCCGGCCGTGCCGCTTCTGGCATCGACACCCCACATTCCAACGCTCCCCATGCCCTGGTGAGAAGGTATCGCGTGAGGGATAAAGAACCCAACAGATCGGCTGCATTTGAATTTTGATGAGCCCGACCCGGGCATAAGGTAAATTGCCGGTCACATCCCGAGAATTTCCATATTCAATAACCCTTCGGTCCCCCAACTACTTCTCAATTACCCGGGCCACATTCCGTCCAAGCTGTTTTGGACAATTGAGCACGGGATGGTAGCTTACGCTGCCGAAGCTTGCTCCGGGCCCTCCAGCCAGGGCCAAGTCAGTCAGGGCAAGAATAGAAGGGAGGAGTGGAAAGTAACGGTGGTTAGGGAGAAGATCAAACAGCAGCAAGTGTATGCTCTATCATGCGATACCTGCACCACAAGTAACTGGGAGAATTTGAGATGGCGCAAGAATGGACATTCTTGCCTATTGAGGTCCATTCCCGATTTCCCCCGTTGATGCCATACCTACGCAATGAGTACCGAACATGGTCTGATATCATGGGAATCCGCTTAATTGGGCTGTGTGCTATGTGACCTGGAACCCTGCGGTTGGGAGAGGGAGGGAGGCAAAAAACAAGCAGACAAAACACAGCCCCCCGACAGACAAAAAAAGAAAAAAAAAGAATTTCCGACCCTAACTTTCCCAGAAGGTGGGGCAGAGAACAAAGCAGTTATAGAGCACCCAACCATGCTGACTATCGCCGAGTGAGCGTCTATGATGGATTCCAACCCGTAGAGATTTCAAGAGGCTAGGAAAGACTTGTTTGGCCCGATTTACCCCGGCCCCCCACCCCCCGTTATCGCAAGTACTCGGACACAGGGGAAACTTTTTATGATTTGTTGCCGAAATTTCCCTGGGATAGGGGGAGGCAGATCACTACAAAAATTCAGCCCTCAGTTGAGACAAGAAAAAAAGAAAATAATATCATATCACGCGCAGCACCCTACGACCTGAGTCAGCCGCAACGCCCCACGGTACCGCACTTCCCTCGTATTCGAGAAATTACGATATTGTATCCTTCTTCTCATCTGCCTCAGCAAAGGGGGGCTGAAAGCCGTTTTCCTTTTCAACCACCGACAACTTTTGGACCCGGCGAAACCACTAAAGCGGCGACCACTTTGCAAACTCCGGAACATGAAAAAGGGGAACGAGGATCAAACTGCCAAACGGCCTTCACTACGAACCGTGAATAGCGAAACCATTGAACGGCGAAACGGCCGATTGACTACATCGATTGCATGGCGAAAGGCAGACAGCAAAATGGCGTGACGGCGAAGATAGCATACGGCGGTCAAAACGACGGAACGATGAACGTCAAATAGTGAAATGGCGATGCTGCAAAAACGAAGCGATGCCCAACAACGAGACAGAAAACTCTAATTGCCAACACACGGCTTCGGGGGAAGCGGGGAAGTTCGCCTCCTATCGCACAACACGATTAAGAACGGACAAGACAGGAGTATAAATAAATTATGACAAAGACGTCCTCCTATCCTTCGACCAGACAAATCCGTTGACATCTACTCTCGACCACGCTGGTCATGTAAGTCCCCCCTTTCTCCGCATACTCCCATGCTAACCAAAGGGGAAAAGCAGTCTTCACAAAGACCTCCACTACTCGCCACCTACGGACAGTTACCATTCCATCCCTCTGACACATCTGTTCTGCTTCTGCCGGGAGCCTATTTCCCTTCCGCAGGTGCAATGCTCCTAAGCGCATCGCCGAAACCTCCATCAAAATAAACAAAAAGACAACGGGACGAAGACCTTGACTGTGCGAGCACTATCCGGATCACGTCGCATGTCAAAAGAGTTCTGACCATGTCGAGCAGCATTCACGATCCTCAGAATTCTTCCTACCATGATTCCCTCAATCCGAAAGTGGGAGGGGACTCTGGTCCTAGTACGAGAAGCACCTCACCCAGTTCTCATCACACAGCAAGAAAGAGCACATAACACGGGCGTGGCACCATATCTACCGGAAAATTAGCTAAGACGAGGGAAAACTTGAACACCCCTTCTCATAACATTGGCAACTCCCCTTCTCAGTAACCCCCCATGAGTTCCTAGCAAAAACCCCTCTATATAAACCATCGTTTAGTTGCCGGGGTGTATCTGGTGTGCACTAATCCCTAGCGCTTGCATGGGGGAACCCGCACGCCTTACAAAAATAAACAGAATCATGTTTACTCACTCGGTAGCTTGTCAGCTCTTCTGTGGTCAATTCCCCCACGTATGCTCCGGTACAAAAACCCGTCCGCGCCCAGAATCAGAAGCATAGGGCTCTACCAACTCCAAGTCAGCGACGAATCCGGGAACACTCAAGATGACAAAACTAATACCTCACCTTTCAAAGCCTTATCCCTTTTTTCCCTCCCCACCAAACACCTTTTCAACCGACAGCTTCATCAAGAATTCTTACTAGTAGGGCCGGCAGCGGCGGTTGCGATACCCATGAGCTAGGGAGAGGCGGCAATTCGGGAAGCCAAGTTTCGCGTTTATCATCCTGGTAGTGTGGAAGGAATATTTTCGCGAACCTTACACCTCCGTTATAGCAAACCCCCCGGCTGGCCGGCCAGCACGATGCGATTTCCCATGCTCCCTCTGCTATGCTCACGTCGTTGAGAGGTTGGTCACTCGTTGCAACCCTCACAGCTGCCGAGTGCACATTTACACTAACAGTCACCAGCGTGCTGTCACCCAGACAAGAGGCCGTGCCCAAGTACCCCCCGGTAAATCCAACCAATCACATTGCACAAACTTGGGAACGCTGCTCAATGGTTGGCCCCAAGGCAGCGAGCACCACCGCCAGCTGGACAACGAGGGAAATGACCAAAGCTCGCAATGGGCTGACCTTTGTGAACACAACCGCTACTATACCACGCACCACCCAGGTCCGAGTTGAAATGCTGGTTCGAGTAGTTTAACATTCCTCTGCTCCGATCCACCAAGCTCTTAGAACGTTTAGCACCATTCATCATCTTTCACCATCAAACCCAATAAAATTCAAATTCAGGTATCATAGCGAGAGGGTGTCTTGAGGTACCTATTCTTTCTACGTTGGCGGAGGTGTCCTGTATACACACAAGCTGTTCCTTTGCAAATATATTCCTCCTTCATCAACCTCGCCCATTTCCTCATCCTTTCTCCGTCATGACCCCACACCACTCCTTTGCACAACCCCTTCGAACTCCGTCTAAAACAGCTCTGCTAGGCGGCAACGGTCTCCCGTCCTGATACCTTTGCCCTTCTCCGGTTCCCTAACTCTTGTGGTGCGACACCTAGTTGTCTAAAGACCTCCGAAGTATAACCTTCAACCTCCGGTATCCCCAGTGCTAATTTCTGAAACTCCCCAAATGCATCTGCTTCTGCTAACCTCTAGTCCATACACGTCCTTACCCATGGGCTCACACACATATATCAAACATCATACTATCTCCAAACGCGCCAATCTGCAAAGATCACCCTTACTCAACTACGCCACCATCTTTCTGACGTCTGTATGGAAGCGTGATGATTTACAACAAATCCACGGCTTCAAAAAACTAGTAGTCACCGTGTGCGGTTATTTGGACCAAGAGGCTTTTACCCGGTTAGTACCCCTCGGTAAATCCAGCAAATCGCATTGCACCAACTCGAATACCCTAGTCGGCGGCAGCGAGTACCGCTCCTCCCGGATGACAAGGGGGAAACGATCAATACGATATTTGTGAATACTTGTGCAACCGCGATCGCACACCACTTGCCCAAATCTGAGTTGAGGGGCCGGTACGTAATAGCGGTCGTGTCTGTAGATGTTAAACGCCACGGGTGCTCTTACAAAAAATATGCATAAGACGAGTAGGGCCCAATAGGCCTCCATAATAATAAAAACACGACCCAAGAAAAGAGCAAGGGTGCACCACCCCATTATCCCCCAAGAACGCGACACAAGTATCCTACCAGCGCCAGCGGTTCGGCCCCGGGAGCTCCACCCACCCTACAACGCGGGTACTACCGTGCGCGGATACAATCCAGCAACGGGACAAGTGGAGATTTAAGAAAGACGACATCATGACACCCAGCACTACCCCGCCCCCCAAGTATTAACAATAATTCGGGGACCAGGGTACTATAACTACGGTAGAAACCCCAGCACTGCCCCCGTGATTGGGATTCGTGTTCCACCCCCGCTATAACCAACTCGTCCAGTACCCGGCGAAAACCCACTTTTTTCAAACGTCGAAATAAGAAGGCGGCTGAAGTGAGACCCGCGATTGCGTCAATAACCACCAGACCCGGCCGTGAGGGGGTTAGCGTTTGTGACGAAAAGCCTGGGATAAAGTCTTGTTTGAACGTCCAAGCGCCCTTGCCGGTTTTTCGCTGAACAGGCAAGTTTATGCGGTAACCACCACACTTCAAAGGGTGTGGGGGTGGCGGTGGGATTCATAGCCGGGTAACTATTTCCCCGCTTGAAAGTTTCTTGAAGGTTTGGCTGGTGGCTTGCTGCGGCGTCTACGGTGGATATCATACTTACAAATAATGCTTACGTAACTGGGCACTCGAATTGATCGAGAATAATCTAAACTTTATGGCATAAATAATTTACTCGAGTGCAATTCAAACGAGCGGAGACCAAGGAACTAAACTCGAAGTGTAGAGAAATCAGGTGCACCACAATTTTACACAGATCAAGTGAATACCTTCCCCCGATCCTCGGACATTAGCATTTTCAATTTTTATATCGTCGGTACAGACGTAGGAATTTATAATAAGCATCTCCATTTTATGACCACAAGAGTTCTGTATTGGGTCGTGCGCTACGGCCAAATATTTACGTAAGAGTGTGCTTTTGGTATTGCAGATAAGATATGGTACGTAGTTTCGTGTCATGTCGTGGCTGCCCAGCGCAGTGTAGCTGACGAAATTGACATGATCTCACTTGACTCCCTCCTTCCTTCCTGCCGTTTCCACCAACCAACCAGATATAGTGAGAACTGACAAAGTAAAGTGAAGAAATCAAATAGTACAAGTTAAGAACAAGAAGAAGAAGGAATATCTAACCAACTAACCAATAGGTGAGACAATATGTTCCTGAAGAATAAGACAGAAAATAGGCAACGTAAACGCCAGAGCCAAGCTAAAGCCAAATGAAACACCCCCTCCCTCTCTCTCCCCCAACAACCTCCACCTCTCCATCCCCCCCATCCAACTAGACAGAATAATGCTCCCAATCCACCCTGTCGAGTACCCCATCCAGCGCATTCTTCCCAAACTTATATCCTTGCAATAGCTCCTCATGGTCAATACCCAGATGCCTCACCCCGTCGCGTCCCTTGAACCAGCCGAAGCCATAAGTATGTCCCAGCCGTCTAAGTTTCTTCTTCCGCACGGCAGTGCTCTCCTCCTCTGTGCCTTCAAAGTCCACCAGCATCTTGCTCTGGTGTATGAACGCCAGCACCGATGATATGGTCCCGGGCTGGCGGGGAAGGAACGGGGATCGGCGAAGATGCAGCACGAGGCTCATTGTTAGGATTGTCACGGACAGGATTATAACGGCCAGAACGAAGGACACAGTGAAGCTGAGGTCGGACTCCTCGCCGCCACCACTGTCCAGCGAACCCATTACCACGGTGAGGACTTCCACGAGGAGGGATACAAAGCCTACCCATGCCAGGAGGAAATGTCCCTTGCTAGCGGCCTTGAGCACCAGAAATCCGGGAATAGTGGCGGAGTAGTCTAGCGTTAAAACACTGCTCGGCGCGTGCCTGTTGAACAGGACCCAGAAGGGCTCCAGCATGCGCATGTCCTTCTCCACGATTTCCCAGATGGACTTTATCAGGACGGATATGCCGGTCAGGACCCAGGGGGTTTGGTCCACTACTATGGTGAGTGGGCCGTAGGCTAGTGGTGTCAGCACCCCAGCAAGTGCGAGGAGGAAGCCGATGAACGGGAGGCCGCCCTTCAGCCGGAGGATGAGCGGGTGCGGGTTCATTGCCTTGGGTGCGTTTACATCACGTTCGTTTTCCTTGAGGAATTGGGCTTGCCAGAGGGCACCCTTGTGTAGGACGTAGGTTCGTTTGTTGAGTTGCTTGTGGATCGTCTCTTCGGAGGCGGAGTCTAGGTCTTTGAAGTCCATTAGAATGTGCGATTTGTTTGCCATTGCAGCGACCCCCGCAATTCCACTCGGGTCTCCTAGCAGGCCAGAACGACGGCGGGATAAAACGACCAACATCCCCACGCCCAAAAAGAAGATTATGGCTACGGTGGCCTCGAGGAGTCGGGAAAAAACCTTATCAACAACTATTGTCTTTTCGATTTGCGCGTCAACCAGTTTCTCGCCCGCCTCTGACATCATCTTCCTGCGCGCGCGCTGGGACGGGGTAATTTCGATGAATGCGGATAGCAACACGGGGACAAGGGCGAATGCCAGCAGTGATGCCACGGATGAAGCCACCACGAGCCATTGACGGTGCTGTATCGCGGCGACGGGAACGAGCAAACTCCAGAAGGTCTGGTATTCGATGTTCAAGGTACTTGCCGCGAGAGCTCCATTGGATCCCTTGCTGAGTTGGTAATACGGCTCCGTACGCTTCACCTCCGTATCCGTGATTTTCCAGAGGATACCGTATATTACGGCTATTAATGTCGGGAGGTATTTCCACATCGCGAAGCCTACCATTGTCAAGTCTTGGTCTACGCGCTTGAAGGATATGATTCCTTTTCTTCCGTTTCCACGGATTAGGCCCCTGTCGGAAAATTGATATAGGGTTTCCACGCAGGCCATTAGTGCGAGGGAGCAGAGGAGGAGGCAGGCTATGAACCAGGGGCGCATGGATACGGGTTTCCAATTGGGAATTACACGGTCTTTTTTTTTATTTCCGCCATGTTAGCCGGGTTTATCCATTCTGGTTTTCACGGGGGGGTTTTACTAGGTGGGAAGTAGTAGGATTGTTTGTCGGTGTTTTCCATTGTCCCCGCCCGATGGAGGGAAAATACATCAGCTATCATAAAAATTAGCCTCAACCGATCGCTAGTTCAGAGATTTTGGCAAAACTTACAATCAGTCCGCTCGTCACTATCCCCCCCACCCCCAAAAGAGGATAAATCTATCACTTCGCCAGTACCTACGCCACAATTAGCCCCACATCCCCCTCGAGCCCTGGCCAGCACGATAGCAATCGGCCACCAAAACTCACCAGTATAAGCATAGTCTGCGTCCATATTGTAATCCTCCATAGCCTTGGCCGCCGGAGGGGGAATAAAATCTGCACCAAAAGTACTAATATCATAACCGACAGGCTCCTCATCATCCCTCTCAACAACCTTTGCATAATTTGCCTCGCCTCCTCCATCTCCAAAGCCCCCTCCCCGATCCCTAATGCCCCCCAAATAACTCCTGGCACTCAACCTCGATCCCCGCCCTTTCACCGTGCCAAGGATCTTATCACCCAATCGCTTAGCCATGCTTGGCTGCCGACCGGGCCCACCCCACCCTCTGGAGGCAAGATACTCGCCACCTCCACCACCACCTTCATACGAGGTCTGATGCTCGGTAAGCCTCACGCGCTCGTAATCCGTGTCGTCAAAATCCATAGGGACCGTAGGGGGCGGCGGTGGAGCGGGGATATCATAGGCAACCGAATTCCTGTTATTACCATTATTATTCTTATTGTAACCGCCAGCAGTGGGTGGGGGCGGCTGCGGGACAGAGTTCTCAATGGCGCTCCGTCGCTTATGCGAGTTTGTCTGGAAACCGTACGTTTGCGTGGACGCTGCGGCGCCGGGTGGATTCAGGGATGGGTTGCCGAAGCGTGGGAAGGTGGGTGATATAGGGGACGTTATACGCAGAGATTCCGGTATCCCGTCTTCGGGAATCGCACGCATCTGTGGGGATATCTCGGGTGAGGATAAGGCTGGTTCGCCATGGCGGGTTCGGGAAAACTCCTCCGTTTGCGAGGGACTGTGCCTATGTCCGTACCCACTACCACCATAATATCCGTGCTGAAAACCCGGGGGCGCGTAGGGCGATCCAGGGGATGAAGGGTGCGTCGAGGAGTAGGCCGTCGGGTCGGGAAAGTCGATCGTTTCCCAACCGATTGCTGGGTCGAATGAGTCGCTGTCTATTCTTGAGATGCGGGACTTGGCCATCTCAACGACGACGGCAACTACAACAAGAGAGTGTCAGAAGCCCGAGCGTTTTCGACAAAATTTTAGCTTTTCGATATCCACTTTATTCCACCGCTCCTCGCATGAGCGTTCCCCAGAGTCGGCGGGAAAATGAGTTTAGTGCACGGCACCCCTGAACCTTGATGGCAAGGCCAGACTTGCCGAAACGGCTCGAATGCTGGGCGGCTCGTAGTATCTTAGGCAGACAAACAATCAGATAGAAAGGAGTAAAGCTTTGGCAACGGAAAACGAAGATTAAAAGAAGGGAAGAAAGGGAACAAGACCAGCAGAGGGTGACAAAGGCTCGTCCTCCCCTGACGGTGAATGAGGAGGAGGAAGAAGAGTCTTGTTCAGTAAGCGGAAAGGATATTTTATTAAGCTCGACCAGGGGTGGTCCCGGAGGCGGGGGGAATAAGGGAGGAGAGAGCGGAATAGCAACCAAAATAACTGAAAAGGAAAGCCCACGGTACACCAACAATTGATGTTACAAGTTGCGTGGTACACACCGAACTCGGAAAGCCCACACTCTAGGTGTAACAAAAAAAAGTACGAGTACAAGCAGCACACAAGGGAATAGTGCAGAGGGAATGGCGGCGGAACGGGGCTCTTGGAGACGGAATTTAGGATGTGCGAGTGCTACTCGTAGGAAAAGGAGATGCCCTTATCCTTCTCGTGACGGAGTCCACCAAGCACGGGAGATCTGGCGAGACGAATAGGTGATTGAATGAATAAATGGCCAGCAAGAAAGTTCGGAGGGGGAGAAAGTGAAAGAAAAGAGAGAAATTCCGTGGAAGACAAAAGTCCTCCACATGAACGACGCGATTCCCCAATCCGAAACTCAGCCGCACCAACCAGGAGTCGGGAATACCATGTCTTTCTCCCCTCCCCACCTCCACTTGCAAGCCCGTCAACCATGATAGATAGCATACTCGAATTTGTAACAAGTAGCCGAACTATCCTGCGCATGCATACAAAGTACAAGTACTTGTACCAAGCCTAACCCTTAACCCTCACTCATGTATACAAAACGCCAATTGCTTCAACAAATACCTTCTCCCCCCCCCCGAAAAAAAGGATTCACGTCTGAACACGCTTTCCCCTCTTCATGCGCTCGACCCAAGGTACACGAGTACTACTGTTCACAAAAATACGCGCAAAGCGCACTAAATTACATGTCCGGAGATGTCCAAATACCGGTACAGTACAAGTACTCATGCACTTAAAAGTACTCGGGTACCGTTCAGCAAATCACTTCCTGTTCCTCACACGCGAGCAAGAAAAGAAGGGGAGGAGAAAGAAGAGAAAAGGAAGAAGGGAAAACCTGTTGCCTGACAGGATGTTTCTTTTTTTTTTTTTTGCTTTTCTATTTCGAGCATCACACCACATCCGGCCCATCAGTGTCATACCCGAACAAAGTTGGCTGGCGGGTTAGTCTCTCTACCCACGCAAACAAGCAAGCAACTAGACTACCAACCACACACATGAATGGGGATCCTCCAAAACAGAGAGGGCGCCAAAAGGCTTGAAGAAGTACGGGCTGTATCCGAGCAGTTTGGTGCTCGAGTAAGCACGGGAATCGGGAAAGCACAGCTTCCCATTCACAAGGTGGCAGAGTACCGTACTAGCAGAGAATCATAGAACAGAGTATCCGGCATTCGGATTCCAGTCCGGATATCTGTAATATTATAATACTTCAAAACACTATCTAATTATCGGGAAAGAAAAAAAGAAATGCGGAAAGTAGGAAGGAGGGGGAAGGAAGGAACCAGGAAGGAAAGACAATACCACGTGCAGGTGAGGAGGGAATCTTCTGTTCCACGTTCCTAAGCGCTGGTTCGATCCTTTTTTCCTGTTCCCTGCCGTGAATGCACTGGGTGCTTGCTTCTCTTTACCCTTTTCTCCTCATCCTGTTTGTGTTACTGTGGTACGGGAGGTTGCTCGGGGTACGGTGCGGGTAGGGGTGCTACTGTACCATCCCACTCAACCATTCATCGCCCAATGCCCGCTTCCCGTGAACTGCCTGCCGCGTACGAGTACAAGTAAGGTGGCTGATGGTTTACTAAAGCAGAGCGCTGAAAAACTCTGCTCTGTACGAGTAAACCGTGCAGTACCATACTTGTAGACTAGCGACCGACCAAAAAAAGCCCAGCGTAGAAAATGAAAATGGAGCGAGTCCTTTGTGTGATATGTTATGCACTGCCTCCGCGGACAACTATGGGCTAAATCCCTACCCCTTCGAGATTTATTGAGAGGCAGTGAGTGGGACATCGATGACAGCCCTACAACTCCCCCCCCGCATCGATAGGGCTCTGTATCCAAGAGTGCTTGCGTCAGTAAGGGGGACATAGTATGATACAAGTACGTATGATAGTCCAAGCTAGACTGAACCCGACCAAGCCCATCAAGACAGAATCAATCCACCAGATCGACCTGGCTTGGCATTTATTTAACCGAGGGCTCCCACATCTAATTTTTCGATTGTCGACAAATTCAACACCGCATCGTCTTCTCCCATACAGTGCACCGGACGGTATTTGGGCCACCCTAGCCTCCTGCCTTTACGGGCGATCAAACAAGCTGTGATCACCAGTGCATTGAAGCTCTTCCTGATTCAGCGCATCGTCCCTCTCATTCCGGGACCTTACTCTCCATACAAGTATCATACAAAACCGCGACACAACACCACCCCACAGCCCAGCCCTACCAAATCCACAACATCGCGAACAACCCTCGAACATCGGGCACACTGCCCTGTTTCCCACATTCTCCTGGTAACAGCGAGCGCTGCGGCGTCATTTGGGACCGCAAAACAAAATCTCGCTTAGCTTGCCGCACCTCCGTCACCGGGGGAGGTTTGTCTGTCTGCATGCTGCGCTTGGGTAACCAGGTAAATTATCCTCAGCTCGCGCCAAGGTGCGGTGGTGCACAACACCGGTATTGTGTCCGTGTTCGCGCACATTGCAGGTACTTGTAGTCTTGGGATGTAAGGGGTGAGAAGGTTAATTTTGCTTGGCCGGAAGCTGGTCGAGGGTGTGATGCCAGTGGTGGCTGGTGAGGTGTGGTGACTAATTTAGTGAGCACGAGTAAAGCTACCGTGGGGTCTCAAATACCGGTAGACTACTTGTGGTTGGGCCAAGTGTTTTGACATGTCGTTGGAGTTTCCTCTTCCGGTAAGGCTTGGCGCTTTTTATTTTTATTTTTATCTCTCAGGGGCTAAACGGCCGCCCCGGGCTGTTTTTCCGGATTTTTCTGCCCGGCCAACCAAATCCTGTTCTTGCGGCCAACTTTATCCGGAATTTCCACACTAGGGGTAGCCTCTTCTTGAGAAAGTACCGTACTCCACTCGTACGTTGCTCTACTCGAGTACGTATATATACAAGATCATGTCGCGGGTAACTTATGTCGGGAAATTCGGATGGGCACAGGTGTCCTCAAAATGCACAGTTCTTAACATAGCCTTACAGTATCAGGGCAGAGCGGCTGGTGGCAATACGTAATGAAGCCTCGTTGGACTCTGCGTATTTTGCAGTCTGAGCTGCGTATCTCACTTCCCGACAAAATAAATTATTGAATCTCCAGATGCGATTCTAGCCCTCAAATCGCCAAGACCTACAAGTCCTTTTTGTAATATACGGGTAGAACATTCGTCTATTCGATTAATCAGGATTGAGAAAACTCCAAGAACACGGCAATGCTCGAGTAGACTACTCTGTTCTGTTCGTCATGGCTGCGACAGAAACCAATTAAAGTAGGATTTCCACAGTATGATACTCAGATACCAGGGTCAAGTTAGCCCGTGAACAGGACTTTGGAGGGGAAGGATGAAATTTATAGGACCATAATATTATGCACATGTAGGGGTATATGATAGAGGAGAAATTTGCGCAAGATTATTTAAATAATAGATTAGAACTGGCCTATCATTTTCATTTTTCACTTTAGGTTTGGCTGTTGTTGTGCAGGTCGGAATCGACAATGTTGCATACTTAACTTTTTGATCGAGCGACTCGCTACAATAACGTGGATCCAGTCATCGGTTTTCATGCGAGCACGACCGAAAAAGTGAGTGGACACAAGCGATTCTGTGCTAAAAATGGCCCCAATTTTTTGCACACTTATTCAGGCACGGATACTTGAATTAAAAATAGGATAACTTGATTGGAGTGTTCGGAAAAGCTGCAGACTAAATTGACTTTCTGCTGTAACCTCAGATGGATTTGGGTTCCCCTGAGAGCTGTAGCAAGAAGGAGGAAAGTGTTCGTCAAAATCGCGCTGAGCTTTTTTTGGTCGGAATGCAGTGTCTTGGCGGAATTTGAAAGTTCTACTTGCACCACTCTCGAGGAGTGGGGGGGGGAATTGAGTGGACATTTGCGTGTAGAAAGTGATGTTGATACTACTTTCAGTGATTCTGGGGATGGTTTGTGTTTTTTGTGAGTCTTCTCAGGCGCAATATCTTGGTGCGAAATCTGCCACTTTCGCTATAAAATCGAAAGTGTCCACTCACTTCGGTCGCACTTGTGAAAAACTGTGATAAAAATCATTATGTTTACTTACCGTACCCAATTCATCGATCCGGGGCCGCCCAAAAATAGTAAGACCCTATAAGTGGGTATATGCAACCAGGTTGACAGAACCCCCGACAGCGCGTTGCAGGAAATCATCCGGCCCCCGGTAGCATTCGTCTTATATCCAATGGCTGTCTATATTGGGGCGCGGCCAGTTCCGCTTTAGGACATCTAAGCTAAGCGACTAATCAGACTAAGCACGTGTCTTGGTGATTATGTGAGCTTGCATATTGCAGCCTAATACTACACTTACTATCATATATGATGGTCCAACTATGGAGGCAATTCATCGAACACTTGGCCTCTGAGCTTCTGAGAATTAAAGATATTGATTCAAAACTCAAAAGCCCTCATACTAGTAGAATCGAAAGAATGTATATCCACAACTCCCTACCCTCGCTATTATTACAAAGTGTC